GTTCTTTCGGTGCGAAGAGTACGTTTAGTTTATAGTCTGTCCTCCAGTACTGGTGAGGCCCATGCTTACCACTATGGATGTCCCGCTGCTATAAGAGAATATATCTGGGTACAGTGAGACTGAAGAGTAGATGTTGTCTCAATGGAGTCAGTCCTTTCTGTATATATGGCTGGAGCTTCGGTATGTATCCAATGGTGGATGTGCCGCTACTCTGCTTCCGTGGCGCGTCAGGTGAGTTCTAATGTAGTAAACACATTGCTGGAGGATTTTGAATGGCATCATGGCAGAGACCGTACTTGAGCTTTCTCGTACTGGTTACCATGATCTGTGGTTACTGTTCTGTGTGCGGGTGTTTGGCATCCTGGCAGGTGATGGTGCTGGTGACTCGACTCAATGTTGGTGGATTTGTGGCAGTACCTTGTGATACAGCGCTCGATGCCAAAACATGTGCGTCCTCTTCACATTCGTCCTCCTCCGCCTCTGCTTCGTGTGCTTCGTTTCAGTCATGTCCCTGGAATATCGCTTTTCTGGGGTTGTGGTTCCTTAGCTGGTTCCTGTTACCTTGGCTTCGGTGGCTCCTCCGATGCCGGCTATGGTAGTGATTGCCTTTGTTCTGGTGTGAGTGGTTCAGGGTCTTCGTCCTGGTGCGAGTCGTTCGGGCTCTTCGTGGTGTGAGTCGTTCAGGCACCTCGTCCTGGTATGAGTCGCTCGGGCCCCTCCTTGTGTGTGAGTCGTTCGGGCTCCTCGTGGTGTGAGTCGTTGGGGCCCCTCGTCCTGGGGTGAGTCGTTCGGTCTCCTCGTGGGGCCTCTTGGGGCCTCTTGGAGGCTCTCGGGGCCTCTTGGGGGCCTCCTTGTGGTCTCTTCGAGCCTCTTGGGGGCCTCGAGAGGCGTCTTGGGGCTTCTTGGAAGCCTCTTGGGGGCCTCTTGGGGCCTCTAGGGGCGTTTACGCATTGCTTTTACGTATTGTTGTTGCGCATTGTTTTTCTCACGGTTAACCTTTACTTGCTCACGGTTAAGAATTAGCATAGCCCAGGCGGATCGCGCGGCGCCCGGCGCAGCGGCGTCGCCGGACGCACTGGGAGGGGGGAGGCTGAAGGGGCCACCCGCGATGGTTGCCCTGCTTGCGAGCGCGGCGCGCCAGCCGCTCAAGCAGGACGCCAGGGCGAAAGCGGCCGCGGCAACCAGGCAGCATTTCGCCGCAGCTTCGGCTCCAAGAGGCCCCCCAGAAGCCCCCAAGCGGCCCCAAGAGGCCCCCGAGAGGCCCCCAGGAGGCTCCCAAGAGGCCCCACCGGGCCCCAAGAGGCCCCCAAGAGGCCCCCAAGAAGCCCCCAAGAGGCCCCCAAGAGGCCCCAAGAGGCCCCCAAGAGGCCCCCAAGAGGCCCCCAAGAGGCCCCCAAGAGGCCCCACGAGGCTCCAAGATGCCCCCAAGAGGCCCCACGAGGAGCCCGAACGACTCACATCAGGACGAGGGGCCCGAACGACTCACACCACGAAGAGCCCGAACGACTCACGCCACAAGGAGGGGCCCGAACGACTCACGCCAGGACGAGGCGCCCGAACGACTCACACCACGAGGAGTCCGAAGGACTCACACCACGACGCGGGCCCCGAACGACTCACACCACGAGGAGCCCGAACGAGTCACACCAGGACGAGGGGCCCCAACGACTCACGCCAGGATGAGGGGCCCGAACAACTCACACCACGAGAAGCCCGAACGACTCACACCAGGACGAAGAGCCCGAACGATTCACACCACGAAGAGCCCGAACGACTCACACCAGGAAGAAGGGCCCGAACGACTCACACCAGGACGAGAAACCCCAAACGATTCAAATCACGAGGAGCGCTTTCTCTCCCTCTTCCTCCGCCTCGCCCTTCTCCCGCTCCCCTTCACAAGGAGGATGTGCAAGGAGGCGGGAGGAAGGAGGAACAGTGGAGATATGCGGGGCCAAGCGGACATACGCCTGAAAAACGCGACTGTCGGCATGCTTCGCGAGAGTTGCTGCTGCGAGATGGGCTGGCGGGGATACGCGAAGCGTAAAGAATTTCTCTGGGGCAAACTCTGCGTGGAACAAATCAACACTTCCTGCCCGCCCCCAGTGTAGATTGCCCCCCTAATGGCCTGTGGTGGCGTTCTGCCGGAGCGCCACTGGCCCAGCCGTTCCGAGCAGGAGGCCGTGCTCGTTTGTTTTGAACGTGAAGTTCATGAGGAAGCCCGTCGCCGCCTTGAGCTCGTCCAACACGGGGCCCGCGTTGGGCGCCTCGAATGCGATGCGCAACTTGCCCTCCTCCAAGATGGCGCCGCTGCGGTGCACGACGACGCCCTCGGGCGGGTTGTCGACGAAGCGTTGCAGGGATCCCAAGCAGTCCCCCGGGTATGTCTGTTTCTTCGGCTTGTTCGCTTGCTTCTGGTTGGCAATCTGCGCGTCGGTTTGCCAGAAGTCCTGGTGGATATTCTTCTTCACTCCGCCGGCCCAGCGGGCCAAAGGCGTGTCGGGATGTCCTATAACTCCCAGCAAGGTCCCGGCAAACTCCCGGCCAGTCCCCTCCAGGATGCAAGAACTCCCTGGGGCGGTCTTCCGGACCCCCAAGAAGGCCCCCAGAGGCTCCCAAAACTGTCCAAGAGGGCCCCGAGTCACCGGCGGAATGAGCTAAGCGATTCAATAATTCTTTCTCCACTTTTTTGGGGGTGTACCCTTTTGCGTGCTCTCTAGCGTTTTCCAACCTCAGCCATTTCGCATTCTTGTTTTCGGCATGTTCGCCCATGCGCTCTACCAAAACGTCTTGGGACGACTTGTCCCGAGAGAAACAATACTTCCTGGAACAGTTCTCGCATGCAGCACAGTGGACAATGATTGCCGGATTGGCGTCCACGGAAGACGTTGCGAAAGGATGCACGATGAGAGAGCCGTTGTTCACGTATTGCCTAACCGTGCGCCTCAACGTGTCGATCAAGGAAACGTGGCCCACGGGCTCGAACAGCCTGCGCTTGCGGCCCCTGCCCCCGCCGGGCACTGCCGCCACCGCGGCGTCATGAAGTGGCTGGTCGGGCATAGGCTGCTCGGGCGCGACGTATGGAACGATAGCTCCCATAGTCGCGGTCTCGTTAGCCGGGAGTTCCGGCATGGGCTCGTCGGAAAAAAAAAAAATGCAAAAAAAAAAAAAAAAAAAAAAAAAAAAAAAAAAAAAAAAAAAAAAAAAAAAAAAAAAAAAAAAAAAAAAAAAAAAAAAAAAAAAAAAAAACAAAAAAAAATAAATCGTCGGAAGCTGGTTGCTCGGGCGCGCAAAGAGGCGCGAGGACGGACTCTGGCACCCAGCCGTTCTCCAAATCATCCGCCGAAATGTCCTCCACAACTTCGCAACCCGCATCTGGAGCCGCTCTCCTGCAAGGTATCTGAAAACCAAATGTTCCACTGAGGGCCGCGCAACGTAACTCCTGGGTCGTTGCGCGCCCACGGATGGATCGCACGATTTTCAGCCACATTCCTGCCGCGAGCGGGCGCCTGTATAAGAGCTGCGCGCTGGACACGAGTGGTGTCAACACATGGGTGATAAGACCGATGGCCAACATCGTAACTGTAGACGGAGGCATTGCCCCCAGCATGCTTTGAACACTGGATGCCTGTTGAGCAGGAAAGGCTTCGAAGGAGGCTTCAGGGGAGGCGGGGGAGAGGATTGGAGGGGGGCTGGATTACAAGGAGTCTGGAGGGAGCGTCGACGGGGAATGTCGGGAGGGTTGGAGAGAGGGTTGGAGATAGGAAAGGGGGGAGGCTGGAGGGAAAGTTGAAGGAAACAGGGTTCGGCGGGCTGGACGGGACATTGCCGGGAGAGCTGGAGGGGGGGTTGCAGGGTGGGCGGGGGGGGAAGTGGGAAGGAGAGTAGGAGGGAGGTCTGGAGAGAGGGTTGGATGGCGAGTTGGAGGGAAAGTTGGAAGGAGGGATATTGGGAGGGATGGAAGGAGGGTTCGAGGGAGGCTCAGAAGGGAAGCTCAGAAGGGAGGCTAGGAGGGTGCGGAAGGAGGGAGTGCAGGAGGGGCAATTGGAAAAAGACTCGGTTGCAGGGGGTCTTCGGGTTGGAGGAAATGTGGAGGGAGACTTGGAGGGAGAGTTGGAAGGAAGGCTGAATGGGGGCGTTGCAGAGAGGGTTGTAGGGGGGATTGGGGGGAGAAATGGAGGGAGGTTTGGAGGGAACACTGGCGGGGAGGAAAAGGGTCATGGTGGCCTCTTGTAGCTCTACTGGAGGCCTCCCCAGTCAGGGGAAGGGAAATCCAGCAAGCTGAGCGCCAGGTTATGGCCCCCCCAAGGCCTTTAGATAGCATCAAGGGGAACTCTCGGTTCCCTGTGCAAAGCCCTGACACGGGACGGGACGGCAGGGCACGGCGCGGCAAGCATAGCACGACTATGCGGCACGCGGTGCGCTTCCAACTTAGCACTCCAGCGGCGCCAAGCCGGCACGACCCTGCCATTGAAGACGTCAACCACGACGGGGAGGTAGATGGCGGCCCAGACTGTCACGAAGGGACTGCCAGAAAAACACACCAACAAAAGTCCGATGAAGGATCGATCTACCTTTTGGGTTCGGGCTCTGAGCCGGGATCGCAACACAAAAACAACATACTTATGACGATGCTCATTTTACCAGCACTATGTGTGAAGCCAAGCATTAGGATGAGCGCGAACAGACACTGGGAGCGTGAATTCACTGAGACACACGCTCGAGGGACGTCCACGTCACCGCGAGCATCCACCTGCGTTAAAGTATCAGAGGAGGAGGGGAGGAGGGAGGAGCCAGTGAAAAGCTTGAGCCATCCGATTACGGACGAGCTCGACTCGGATCGGGGCTCAACGGCGATTCATTCACTCTGTCACACCTGGATAAATCCTCAAATGACGATGCTCATTTTACCAGCACTATGTGTGAAGCCAAGCATTAGGATGAGCGCGAACAGACACTGGAAGCGTGAATTCACTGAGACACACGCTCGAGGGACGTCCACGTCACCGCGAGCATCCACCATAGTCCAAAGTTTGTACTGGCACAGCCGTTAAAGAGAGATGAGTCTGGCCACAGACGAGCAAAGTTTTTTGGGGTATCCCTGGGCGCGGCGGGTCCAAAAAACACCGTTGGGATCCTTGCCAGACAAGGGGAAGTGAGGACAACCTGTGACACCACAAATGCCTCGAGAGCCTTTGCACTTGGCCTCGAGCGCGGTGGCATCTTCAAAGTTGCACAAGAGGGTCGTGCCTTTTCTCCACTTCGCACCGTATCTGCAGTAGTCTACCTCTACTTTGAAAAAGCCGAAAAAATCCTGGAGGCGGCGGATGCCTGGAACGTGCCAGAGAATGCTTGTACGAGGGTTCTCGAGCACGGCACGCACATTGTGTTGGCGACAGCATTTCAGGAGACGAATCGTGAAGCGGGTCAGCGCATTGGCATCTGCAATCTTCTGAACGTCCTTGGCCGACAGTCCGTCCAAGCCCAAAGGGCGAGATGTGGACCTCACTGGGCCAGGTCCCGCGCCACCGGCGCGGGCTCGGCTGTAGGTTGTGCAGGGCAGTCCAATCCAGACGAAGAGAATCGAGGCGGACCGCACAAAGTCCAAAATGTGGTCCTGAACGGCACGCTGGGAGACATCGGCGCCAGGCCCATAGAGGATCTCGTAGACCAAGGTGGGCACGCCAAGCCTGGCCAAGGCGCGGCTGACGCCTGCAGTGCCGGCGAAGACCTCTAGGGCTCGCGGGGCCGCTTTCGGAGGGGAAGCGGCGCCGTCGACGGCGAGCCAAGGAGCCACTCCTCGAGGTTTCCGCGCGCCAGCTTGGCGAAGGCGAGGAGGTGGGGCGGGGTCGATTGCATCACCTTCTGCACCCTCCCGCTCTTCTCGTACCTGCGCAGGCTGGAGTAGGTCTCCCACGTGCCCCGCTTGCGAGTCTCCTCGAGCGTCCTCCGTTGCAACAGGATGTCCCGCGTGGCGCCTCCGCGGCGGGCCTGGTAGGTCACCAGCCTGAACTTGTCGAGGCCCAGGTCCACGCACGCCTGGTCGAAGTGCTTCTTGTACAGGCGCATCCCGATCGGGAACAGCATCTCGTCGTCGCTCCTCCGACCCATCAAGAACCTGACGAGCCGTGCCGTGTCGACGTCGTGGTTGCCGAAGATGATCGCGTCGTCGTGGGCCCCCGTCTTGCTCATCGCGCCGCGCTCCTGCGGGAACAGAATGATGCCCCAGCGGTCCATGCCCTGGGCTGCCACTGGTTGGAGGACGTCCCCCACCCGCACCGACATGAGAGCTCCTGGCCGAATGTAGGTGTCGAAGGACGTCACCAACGCGATCGCCGCCTGGACGTGGCCCCTCCACTGCATGGCCGCAGCCAGCGCCGCACACCACTCCCACGGGAGGGGCAGGCGGCTGGCCGGCGGCGCCGCCTTGCGGAAGCCCCTCAAGGCCCGGCGGAGGCGAGGGAGGCTCGATCGCCCCAGGTTGGCTACGTCGGCGCGGCAGAAGAGCACGGCCCCGAGCAGCATGTTCCCGACATCGCAGCGGTCCCCTTCGAGGTACCGAAAGTCGAGGTACTCGAGCGCCGCCAGGTCCACTTCTGCCGGGCTCGCGGTCTCCAGGCACTCCACCTCGGCAAAGTCCATGAACGAGTCGAAGGTCACCCTGTACCGCTTCTGCATAGCCTTGCCCACGGAGCGGTACTCGAGGAGGCTCAGGCCCCCAGCGCGGGCCCCTGTCATCGAAGTCTCGGCTGCCGCCGACGATCGCCTCGTCCGAGCCGCGGCGCGACGGCCCCGCAGCCTCTCCTCGCGGCGCAGACGCGCCGACAGAGCAGTCCCTGGCGCTCCGCGAGGTGCCGGGGGCACCAGGCGCGACGGCCTCGACCCCCGTGCAGCGGGGGCCGGCGTCGGGGCGCGAGGAAGCTCGGTCGGCCGCGCCAGGCGGGGCGTCACCGCAGCGGCCGTGGCTCGGACCCGCGGGGGACTTGCCGTCCCGCAGACTGCGTCTCGGCGCGGCGGCAGGCGCGCTGTCCGCCTCGTGAGGCGGGGGGCCTCGCGAGCCGCAGCCACCTCCATGGCCGCCAGCCGCGAAGGCCTTCTTGCGGGCCGCCCGGGCGCGCAGCTGATCAAGTCGGGCCTCATCGGCGACATCGGCGTAAGTCGTGAATCGACGAGACGGGCTGTCGGCGCGGTTGAACTCCGACGGGATCCACCTCCAACGAACACGAACTCCCGACGCCAACGAGACTGCAGCAAACTGGCGACATACTTGAAGCAGGGCATTATCAGCAGCACGACCCTTGCTGAACGCGAGCACCGCGGCCATGCTGTCCGAGAAACCGAGCAGACGACACCCATGAGCTTTACCAGACCTGACCCTCCTACGCACAGCGGCCAAACAGGCCAGCGCCTCCAGGATGTGAATTACCTCCCTACGATCCCAAGGAGCAGAAACGTCGGTCTTCCATCGGTCCTTGGCAAGCACTTGTGGGGAAACGTTGGGGAAGGCCTCTTGAGGGCCCCACACCCACCGGGCGGGCTTGCCGCACGGCTTGACCGTCGCTGGGTCGCTGAAGGGGTCGGCGGCACGGAGGGCGTCAGCCCTAGGACCTTCACCTCGTTCAAACTCCCGACGGAACCTCCAGCGCTCACTGTAGGCGCCTTCGAACTCCAGTTCTTCGGACGTGAGCGGAGCTTCACAGATGCCGAAACCAGAGGGGCTCGCGTCGGTCATAAAACTGAGGGGGTCCCAGGGGGCACGAAGATTCGACGAGCAGAGCGGCAACAGACAACCCAGAAGCCAGCATTCCCGAGCCACGCTCGGCCAGAGTCGCCCGCGGGAGTTATAATATTTGCGAACGAACCCGTAGCTGGAACTGAGTACGGACAAGAGCTCACGACGAGCGAGCAGCTGAAAAGTAACATGACCCAAGAGGCGCTCCAACTGTCTTCCAGACACGACGGGGCGACGGGCGAGAGCGAAGAGGGCGACTCGGAGGCGCCACTGCCTCTCGGGGGTCCCACTAAAAAAACCCCGGGCCCCATCGAGGAGGAAACCTAAACTCCGGGCCCACTGGGCAGCCCCCTCTTCCTCGTGCACCTCGAAACCGAGGTCGCGACAGTGCTCGGCCACGCGCTCCCGGGCGCGATTCGCTCGATCGGGGCAGGTGGCGGCGACCGTCAGGTTATCACAATAGGGGAGGGCGAGGACGGAGGAGGCCCGAAGAGGAGGAGCAGGAGCACGATCGAGCAGGATGCACCCTGGGGGTAATTCAAGCGCCCGACCGACTTCCGTCGAGTGCGCCAACTGCGCAAAGAAGAAACTCCAGCTCCATCCCATGGGGAGCACCCGAAGGGCAGGGAACCAGGTCCCGTCCAGGTTCCCGGGGTCAAGGAAAACGGGCGGCAGGACCAAGTTTTCAAAAAAGTCGGGCCCGACAGCATCGAAACTGAAATACCTACTGAGCTCCGGGGGGATCCCACAACAATAGAAGTAATCCTTGATGTCAGACAAAGAGAACCACGCCTGCTCACCCTCCCCGATGGCCACATCCGCCCAGGCGGCACCCGTGCCCATCGGGAGGTGGGGAGTGGGACGGAAGAGACGGTTGGTGGCCCTGCAATCTATGACCAAGCGCTGCCGTCCGTTTTTCTTGCGAACAGCGAAGGCGCGCACCTTGCAGGAAGGCCTGGAAACATAAGCCAACAACCCGGCCTCGTGCATCTTCGACATCAGGTCTTTAAAGTGACGGGACCCCCCCCGGAGCTTGGGATCAGAATAAACCTTCACGGGCAGCTGTGTCTCACACACGGCCCCCCACTCCTCTTCATTCAACAAGATGTGACGCTCGAAATCTACCAGAAATTGACTGGCATCACTCGGAAGACGATCACCGAGTTCGACAGGCTTTGCTCCGGCTCGGGGCACCGAGACCAACTCTGAGTCGTATGAGGCAAGGCTAGCGTTGGGTCCGTCTTCGTAAGGACGGCCTGACCCGAGAAGCGCCGAGAGGGCTTCCTCGGAATTAGGAACACAAAATGCGGGCTTGAAAGCACGGGCAGCGCCTTCAAGCCGGTTGAGAGCTTCTAATTGGCAAGAGGACGCTGGACGATCACACGGCTCAGAATATCCAGCAAGCGAGTGAATTGCATCCACCATCTCATCGACGCGCTCGAAGCACCGGTCAGTCTCGGCAAGCCGCTGTCGCACGCCTCGTGACAGCCCAGCTTGACGCCGAGCCCGGCACTGTGGAGCGAGGCGAGGCAGAGGGAGAAGATCGCGCTGAAGCAAGCGAGCGTCGTCCCGAGAGGCATGAGGCGCCGCGGCCGCGGCGGGAGGGCCGCCCACACCCTCCTCGGGTTGGGCAGTCATTGCCCCGTCCCGGCGCCGGCGGCGCCGGGGTTGCCCTCCCCGCCTTGGCCCTTGCCGCCTCCCTTGGGCGGCTTCTTCAACTTCGACAGGCGCATCTCCTCTGCATACTTGCGCTGATCCTTGAGGATCGAGCTGCGCTCGGCCGCCTTGGCGGCCGCATGCCGCGTGAGAGCAGGAGCCACCAATGCGCCGCCCTTCGTGACGCCCCAGCCCATCATGTCGTCCGCGTGGCTGTAGTCCGCATTGGCTGGGTTGGCGACGTGAGCAGACTCTATCACCTGGGCCCGCCTTATCAGCAGCTCGAAACTCTCGAGGCACATGAGATTCAACTGGTCTCTTTCTGCAACCGTCTGAATCACCTTCATGATCATGTGATGCTCGTGCACCGAGCGATCCCCCGCGGGGATGCCGCCGTCACTGGCCCAAGCCCTCGAGCGAGCCACGGGGGCTAACCCCGTCTGAGCCATCTTCTGGAGGTACCACTCGGCGCTGGGGTCCCCCTCCAGCTCGGTATCGTTGAACTCCACGTGCTCCATGGCGTCCACCGCCTCGCTGAAGGGACGGAAGCGCTTCTCCCCGCGCCACTTGACGGGGAGCACGCGGAGGTCCCCCTCGTCGTTGTCGGCCGCGCCCGCACCTGGAGGGCCCGGCACCGCGCCTGGGCCAGGCGGCCCGGCTCCGGGTGGGCCGACGGCCCCCCCGTCCGCGGCCACCACGGCACCTGCGGCGCCGGCGGCCTCCACGGCCTCCACGGCCGCCAGCGCGGCAACGTACACCTCGGCGAGGTTCGTGCCGTCCATGAAGTCGTAGTAGAGGTCGTTCGCGCGGAAGCCAGCACGGGCCGCCCGCGGCACCAGACTCCCATCCGGCTGGAAGCAACGCGTGTCAATCGACACGCCCTCGCCCACCTGCTCCGGGTACACGTCGCCGCTCCGGGTGGCGACCCACCACACGGGGAGCCCAAACTCGTTCGCCTGCTCGCCAATCTGCTCCTCCATCATCGCTGCCGTCGTCTCCTTGATCAATAGACGGGCGTGCCACGCGCCGTCCCGGCAATGGAGCTTGACCTTCTGTCCTGCACGGAACATGACTCCAAGTGATGAAGCAGCAGCCTGCACAGCAACAACTGAGCAAGACGCCAAGGATGAGCCCGAGCAACAGGCCCACAAGGAAGATGCCCCACTTCAAGGAGCTGTTCCCGATAGTGCACTCCTCAGCCGCGCAGTGGATGATGGTGCTGGCAGCGTGCTGGGCCGCATTGCTGATCGCGTCCGAAGCCAAGGAACCAAGAGCAAGCTTGCCGAGCTGACGGATGCGATCAAACATACAGTGTGTATGTCCGGCGTCTGGCTCCTCTAGCCAGTGAAAAGCTTGAGCCATCCGATTACGGACGAGCTCGACTCGGATCGGGGCTCAACGGCGATTCATTCACTCTGTCACACCTGGATAAATCCTCAAATCGTCATCGTCAGCATCATCATCATCCTCGTGCTCATCCTCATCGCCATCATCAGCATGATCAGCATCGTCGCCACCACCTCCACTACCGCCATCACCATCACTGTCATCCTCATGGTAACTACCATCAGCTTCATCCAAATCATCATCATCGTCATCGTTATCGCCATCATCATCAACATCATCAGCAGCATCATCATCGGCAGCAGCAGCAGCATCATCATCCAGGGAGCTGGTGTTCAAAGTTGTCTTTGTTCGACCAACTGTTTCCTGCCATTCCCATGTCTCCTCGTTCCCCCTACTTCCTCCTAGAAGCGGGAAAGAGGGACAACAAGGTTCAGGTAATGGAGGACATGGGAAAAGACGAAGGGGCAAGGAGAGAATGGGAAGGGGGAAGCCGCACCCAGGGTGAGAATCTGCTGGAAAAGCCTCGGGTTCGAACACTTCCTCGCCCGACGAAGAGGCAACTGGTGCGTGAAAGAGTCTTTTCGAGAGCTGGCCCCGAGGTGCTGGCCTCCCTTGCATGTTGCTGCTGCCGTTGCTGCTGCGCTCCCCTCGGCGGTCTGGTCATACCTGATGCTACCACAGCCACGCCTGGCACGCACGGCACTCAAGGCCCCCGCGCCTCCAGCGTCCGCGCGTCCCCCAGCCGGAAAGGTGGATTGGAGGTGCGAAGAGAGGAGCGAGAGCGAGCTGCCTGCGCGCGCGCCTGGCGAACTACCGGAACTGGATCCAGACTGCCCGCTGCCATTGCAGTCAGGCGGCCTCATAGATGTCTAGCCCACCAGGAGGAGGAGAGGAAGGGGCGCGAGCTCTTGGGTGGTCCCTTGTTTGGGGTCTCGACGTGCCCTTGAACGTCGAGAGGGCTCCATGGGGGCTCTGGAGGGGCAGCAGCACGGGTCCCCAGACGCCGCACCCCCCCCTCCCCCGCGCGACTGCCCTGCCCCCGCCCCGCCGGCGCATCCTTGGCCAGCTTCTCCAGCTTGCCGCAGGACGCAGCCTTGGGCGGGCTCGCGGCCAGCATCGCTGCTCTGCCGACGGCGCTCTCCCTGGCTGCCCGCCCTCCCCCGCGCGCCGCCTCGAGGCGCGGCGCCGCAGCCTGCCCCGCAGCGACGCCGCCTCCGCCGGCGCTCCGCTGCCGAAGCGCGCCCTGCTGCTCTCCTCCTCCTCCTCCTCCTCCTCCTCCTCCTCCTCCTCCTCCTCCTCCTCCTCCTCCTCCTCCTCCTCCTCCTCCTCCTCCTCCTCCACCCCTTCCCCCGTGCGCCGCTGCGCAGCGCCGCGCTGCAGAGCCCGACACCGGGTGCGGCGGGCGCCCCTGGAGCTGCGAGCTTTCAGCTCCTCCACCGTGCCGCGGGCGCCGCCGCGGCGCGAGCACCCTGTCGACCGTCGAGCGTCGGGCGTCGTCCTCGGCCGTCGGCCGTCGTCGCCATCGTCGCCGTCGCCGTCGCCGTCGCCGCGCCGTCGGTCTTCCCTGCACACGCCGCACCCACCCTGCTGCGCGTTCGTGCTGCGAACGGCACTGTACGTCGTGGGAGTATTCCTGTGCGCACTTCTCACTCTGATCGTCTCGAAAATTCCGAAAGAGCGTGTTCTACCGCTGCTGGCGGAAAACCGGGGGGGGTCACTACCGGTTCGAACCCCTCCCCCCCCCCCTCCGGAAAACCGGGGGGGGTCACTACCGGTTCGAACCCCTCCCCCCCCCCCCCCAGCTCATCATGAAAAGGGGGGGGGTCACTACCGGTTCGAACCCCCCCCCCCCTCGAAAACCGAGTGGGGGGGGTGCGGACAGGGGTGGGGACGGTGTTGGTGGGGACAGTGGTCAGGGGACTGCGGGACAGTGGTGGGGACAGTGGGGGGACAGTGGGACAGTGGTGGGGACGGTAGTGGTGGGGACAGTGGTGGGGACAATGATGGGAACAGGGGGGACAGTGGACAGTGGTGGGAACGGTGGTGGTGGGGACAGTGGTGTGGGGACAGTGGGAATGAGGTGGAAACAGTGGATAGAACCGTACAATTGGGGACAGGGTAAAGCCGGCGAGACGGAGCGGTGGGACTATGTGACAGAGGTACAGGGGACAGTAGTGGGTGGGGGGACAGTGGGACGTTGGGACAGTGGTGGGAACAGTGGGACAGCTCAGTGGGACAGCGGCGGAGTCAGTGGGACAGTGGGGACAGTGGGGATAGTCGGGCAGTGGTTGGGTCGTGGAGACAGTGGGGAGAGTGGAACCGTGGTGGGAACAGTGGTGGGGACAGTGGGGACAGTGCGACAGTGGTGGGGGCACTGGTGGGGACACAGTGGGGACAGTGGTGGTGAGGACAGTGGTGCTGGGAATAACAGTGGGGGATGTGATGCGGACGGTGGTAGGGACCGGGAGTCGTTGCGCGCGGTGCGGGGGGGGGGTCGAACCGTATACCCCCCCGCCTGTGTGCGAGGAGGGGTGGGGGGTGGGGTTCCAACCGTATTGACCCTCCCCGTTTTTCCGATCCGGAGGGGGGGGGGAAGGGTTCGAACCGGTAGTGACCACCCCCCGGTTTTCGTGGGGAGGGGGGGGGGGGGGGGGGGGGGAGGGGGGGGGGGGAGGGCGGGGGCGGCAGGGGTTAGGGTAGGGGGGGGTTTTGGCCGAGGAGGGGGGCGGGGGGGGGGGGGGGGAAGAAGGGGTTCCCGGCAGGGGGGGGGGGGGATTATCGGGAGCTGGAGGGGGGGGGGGAGACCCCCGGGTTCCGGAGGAAAAGGTTGGCAATTTTCCACAGTAAAGCGGCGGTGGATCACGCTCTCTCCAAATTCCTGATCCAACGACTGGCGCAACAAAAACTGAAAAAAACGATCAGATGTTCACAAACCATTTGGCCGTAGAGTCTGGCCTCCACTGGAAGAATGATCAAGAAGCTGTGCGTAGCCTCGTGGGCGGAAGTCATAGCAACGAGGCTCTCATGAGAGCCATCATGACTACAAACTTCCACACGCTGAAGACGGCAGCGCACGTGGATGCAAGAGGGCAGTGGATGCAGACCCACACACGTGCGCGCGACACTGTCAAATATGACCTCAGACCAGAACAGCTTGCGCCTGGTATAAAAACGACTGCCACACAATCGAACTCGCTTCTTTCGGCATTGTGGCAAAGTCCATCCCAATACCTTCTCCTCATCTTAAGACCGCCGCGACCGCGACCACGGCAGCGACGGTTGCGGCACCACCACAGGATAACGACCACGACCGAGACCACAACGACGAAGACGACGACGACGACGACGACGACGACGACGACGACGACGACGACGACGGCGGCGAGGACAACGGTGACGACGAGGACGGCAACGGCAGCGATGCCATGCGCCTTGCCGCCAGCCACCTGGGGCCTGTCCGCGATGGCCACTGCGTCCAGCACCTCGCGGGCACCGGTCAGGAAACCGTGCGCGGCCAGCGTCATCGGCGGCAGGCGGCCTGACCGATTCCAAACGCAGGCCCCAGGACTCTCGGCCTCTTCTCGGGGACCGGTCCTTCGTCCTGGACTTTCCTCCGAGTGCCCCAGGGCCTGATACTAAGCCAGGAAGCTGAGGGGCCGTCTTCGTCTCCGCGTCGTCATCTACGTACTCCTCCTCCGAGCATCTGCACGCTGGCTACGTGTACAGAAGGCTTCCGCCTCTCCTTCCTCCTGCCCCCGTACCTCCTCACTCCCTCCGCCCCGCCCCGCCTCCTACTCCGCCTCCCTCCTCCTTCCCCCCGCCGCCTTCCCCTCCTTCCCCTCTCCTCCTCCGCCTCCTCCTCCTCCTCCTCCTCCTAAGCCCGCCTCCCCCCTCCCCACTCCGCCTCCTCCTCCTCCATCCTCCTCCCCTCCTCCTCCATCCTTCCTCCTCCTCCTCTTCCCGCGTCACGGTCCAGCCGCATGTAACTACCATTCAGCTTCATCCAATCATCAGCAATCAACAGCGTCAATTCATCATCACAACATCATCAGCAATCATCAAGCATCACATCCATCAATCAAAAATCATCATCAATCATCATCATCATCATCAAATCTCATCATCATCATCAGCTTACATCATCATACTCGTCCGCGTAGTCCCGCGTCCTCCTCCGCCTCCTCCTCCGCCTTCTGCGCCGCCTGCGCCGTCGGTGCCTCCTGTCTACCACCACTGTCCTCCTTCCCCCCCCATCCCTCATCCTGCCCGCCTTCCCCTCCTCACCCATCCTTCGCCTGCCTGTCCCCCGTCCATCACTCCTCTCCTCCGCCTCCGCTGCCCTCCGCCTCCGCCTCCGCCTCCTCCTCCGCCGCCTCTCCTCCTCCGCCTCCTCCGTCTCCGCGTCCAGAATCCTCTCGCCTCCCCTCTCCGCCGCCTGTTTTTCGGCTCCCTCCTGCGTCGCCACCTTCTCGCCTCCGCCTCCTCGTCCCCCTCCTGCCCCTCCAGTGTAGGATCAGTCCTGCAATTGGACCTCTCCTCCTCCTCCTTCCGCCTCCTCCTCCTGCTCCTCCTGCTCCGCTTCCGGCTACCTGTTCCTCCCTCCTTCTCCGCCTCCTCCTCCTTCGTCTCTCCTCCTCCTTCTCCTCCTCCTCCTCCTCCTCCTCCTCCTCCTCCTCCTCCTCCATTCCTTCCCTTCTAAAATAACTCCTCCCTGTCGCACCCGGAGGCTGGTAGAAAGGGCGGGCCGGGCGTTTCGCCTGAGACGTCCTCAGACTGTATGATCCTAAAGCTTGAAACTTACAGCAGCTTCACGGGTGGAGGGCTGGTCGTTTTCAAAACGTGGCTCTCGCCTGAGCGCCGCGCACATCCGTTCTAAAACATGTGCAAAGTGTCGCTTTCAACATATGGTTCTCGCCTTAGCGCTGCGCACATCCGTCTTTAACAATTGCAACAACTTCACCTGTGGAGGGCGGGCCGTTTTAACATGTGGCTCTCGCCTCAGCGCCGCGCACATTCGTCTCAGAAACTTGCAAGATCTTCACGGATGGAGGTCGGGCCGCTTTCAAAAGGTGGTTCCAAGAGGGGCGCAAGAGGGGCGTTTGGCGGGTGCGTCGGAGACAAGCTGACTCGTGCTCACTTTTTCCACAAGGCACAAGGGCGTTGCCAGCGGCAGCTCTGTCTCGGACTACAGAGCCAGTCATATATCTGTTCGGCAGGAACCTAAGGAACTCTCCAAGGAAGGAATTCCTTCCTGAAGGAACCTACGAGGTTCGGGCACTTGCACGCAGGCTACGCCAGCGGCGGCGACTCGAAGACATGGACAGCGTTTCGTTCGGCCAGCACAGATCCCGCGGGGAGTGGCGTGGGCATTCAAGCAGAACCTGCACAGATATGGATAAACTCACCCTGGCGGCACAAAACCCACGGATGAATCAACCACCAGCAAAGCAGTTACATGATTCCAGAAAGGGGTGTCTGCCGGGCGCGTCGGAGGCCCCAAGAGCTTCCAAAAGGCCCCCAAACAGGCCCCCAAGACCCCCAACAGGCCGGCAGGAAGCCCCAAGAGGCCCCCAAGAAGCACCAAAGAGGCTGCCCAGAGGCTTCAAAACTGCTCCCCAGCGGCTCCCGAGAGCCCCCCGAAGAGGCCCTAAGAAGCATCCATGAGGACTCTGTCTGACCCACAACCCAGGCACGTTTCGAAACTCTGCTGGAGCTCTCTTGAGCCATCGTGGTGCCCTCTATCTGCTCTCTTCGACAGGGTGCGAGCCACAAGTCCGAAGATCTCCTTGTGGACAGTCCCGCCTGCCCCACCGTTCCCGTGGGCGCGAACACACCCGTGATGCGAAATGGGCTGGCGGAATGAGCGAAGCGATGAAGTAAACACAAAAGGGCGTTTCCCATCACAGCGCGGCGCGAAAGAATGCCAACACACACGAGGACAGGACGCCAATCGACTCTTGACATGCGGAGGGCCTCTCCGCAGGCACCGATTCCCCTATCCCAGCACCGTGCTCTGCCTGCGGCGTTGATCACTAAGATGGCGTTGCACTCGGCAGCTCAGGTTTCATGATGCGGTATGTGTGCACCAGTTTGACTTGGGCCTCCGCCAACGCCTTCCCTTTGAAGATGTATGCGTCTGGCTCCGATCCATCAGTCTTGATGTTGCCGAACTGGTAAGCATCACGATAGCCGTACCTGGCGAAGACCTTTCCCTCGTTCTCTGGCGTGATCTGAGGGCAATTGACGGCCGTCTGGCCCACCTTTACAATGCGGTCAGTATCGTAGTACTGCGGGTTGGAGACTTCGAAGAAGTAGATGTAACCGAAAACATCAGGCGCGTCGGCGAGGTCGATAGCTTGGGTCAGGGACGCCCAGCCGAGACCCTGAGGCAAGCGGGGCGACCACGAGTACATTGCAGGCCACTGGCACATGCGGCCTGGGCTGGCCCAGAGCTCGTCGTACTCGGGATCGTAGGGGTATATCGAACCACTGAGAAGATAGCGAGGCCTAGCAACGTCGGTGTCACTTGCAACTTTCGTGCCGTGCTCGCCCGCCCGTAGGTGTCCATCGACGGTGTGCTCAATCGATTTTCTCAAACTCAGTCCGAGACCACCGCAAGAGTGCAAACGGCCCTTCTCATCCACAATCTCTCTGGGAATGACGATGTCGCTCATATCCTTGCCCGAGGGCTTCACCACGAGCAGTTTCCCTGGAGCCTTGTACCATGGATCAAAGGCCAGCACCTTCAACGTGGCTTCCTGATTCGGGCTCATCTTTACCATCATGGCCCCGAGCACTTTGACGACAATCCGCCACCGTGCTGCGAGGCACGAAGTGGAGCGCCCTCATGCCCACTCGAGCTCTCTGTGTTGAGGACTGCCAGTGCCCAGATTTCCACAACTCCTTGTAATTCCGGCGTTCCCTGGCGCTGCTGGGACTTGGGCTGCGACTTCCCCCGAAGACTCGGAAGAGTAGTTGGGAGCCCGTACTTCCAGCATGCACTAAGATAGGCCCAAGTGGCCGTCCAGGAGCCATCTTGGACAGGCCAACATAAGAGGCACGCATCAGACGCTTGTGTGAGTTCCGCAAGCTCGCCTTCTTGGCCTTTACATCTTCCGAGAAAGCAAGAAAGCCCGAGAAGCCCTCAAGAGAGCTCCAAGAAGGCCCCAAGAGGTGCCCAAGAGGGGAACTCGAAAGGGCATTCGGGGAAAGATGGCCCCCGAGACGCGCCTCCAGGTCCCCAACGGACCACCCAAGCGGCCCCCGGAGGCCACCACGAGATCCTCGGGAAACCTGCGAGAGGCCCCCAAAAAGGCCACAAAGAGGCCCTCCCCAAGAGGCCTTCCAAGAGACCCCAAGAGGCTTCTAAAAGGCCTCCTGTCCACGACCCGGGCACCGGAGCGGGATGGGCCGAGGACCACTAAGCCTGCTTGGCGCGGGGACGAAAAGCGCAACACTTACTTTCGAGATAGCGCGAGATCGCTGGCTTGTCCGCTGTTCCTCCTCGCACGTCCTCACGTCCACTCGCCCTCGTCGCATCCTTGGGCAGTCTTGGGGCCCTCTTGGGCAGTCTTGGGAAACTCTCGGGCTGTCTCCGGGTCCTCCTGAGCCGCCTTGAAGCCCTTCAAGAAGGATGTCAAAACGATGTTAGAAGCATCCTTTAGAACATGCGACGTCCGACATGGATTACTTTTGTTTCAGGACCTCCCTGGCAGAATCGCCATTTTGCCGCGGCCTCGAGGCCGTTCTTGGACCGCTTGCACCACCCGAGGCCGTTCTTGGACCGCTTGCACCACCCGCTGCCCGCAGGTCGTGCTCTCCCTGCCCGGACCGCCCGCCCGCCTTCCAGAACCACGTGTTCTCCCCGCTTGGATCGCCCCCGGTCCGAGTGTCGCGGTTCCCCAACGTGGGCCGTTCATCTGTGCTTGGGCATGTCGCAGGGAGAGCGTGCCGAGGCCACGTGTTTTCACCGCTTGCACCGCCCGCTCTTCAGAACCCTGCGGCTCCCCCTTTGGACCGTCCGCCGTCCGAATGTCGCGCTTTCCCCGTCAAGACCGCCCGCTGTCCAGAACCATGGGTCTTCCCCGTCTGGACTGCCCGCTGTCCGGACATCGAGTCTTCCCTGCCTGGGCAGCCGATCCGCTGTCTTGAAACATCCTTACGTTTGGCTTCACAGGAGAGGGCACGAGGGAAGCGGTGTGTCCTCCCCGCTTGGACACACCCTCCGACACCCTGCGGCTCCCCGTTCAGGCCGCCCGCTGTTCCAAGGACGCGTGTTCCTCGTCAAGACCGCCCGTTGTCTAAAATCACGTGTTCTCCCCGCTTGGACCGCCCGCCGTCCGAGACCGCGCTCTCTCTCTCTCTCTCTCTCTCTCTACCTCTACCTCTACCTCTACCTCTACCTCTACCTCTACCTCTACCTCTACCTCTACCTCTCTCTCTCTTCTGTCGCTCGCGCCCTCTCTTTGTCCCGCTCTCTTCCGATGCACACGCGTGTATAGTTACATGTGTGTATACTAATACAGCTCCATAGCTATATGTATAAAAATCAGCTTACGTGCAGATATACACCTCGTGAACAGATATGCAGAAGGAACACAAACATACGTGTACACACCTCTATACTTATAACGATACCCGAGAAGAGAAACAATCATACACTGTTTAGGGCTATAGAGCTATGGGGCTATAGGGTTATAGGGCCATAAGGCGATAGGTCTATAGGGTTATACATCGCCGTGACGAAAGTTTCTTTCAATCTGCCTTGAATGACGCGCTCGTGCGGGGTAGTTCGGAGTAGTTCTACTAAAACTATTCCGCGCGCAATCGCATCCCGCTCGGTAAGTTAGATGGTTTGGCGCGGAATAGTTTCCGATCCCGCTCTGGGGCAACAGAGTTATTAACGTATCCGGGATCGGAAACGACTCCGCCGAATGATCCCAGCATCATGTCATGTTAGGAATCTTGAAACGGATGGGGGAAATATTCATCATAACAAATTGAAGAAACTTTTGGTCACGGTTGCGTAGTGCTAGAGGGACACACACACACATACATATACATAGATGAATACTAGAACCACGCGCGCTTCGTGAGCGCTCAGGTTCTAGCAAGTTATGGGTATACCCTAAAGTGTGCGGTATTGGACGACATAGATTGTCGCACGGCTCGCGCCCTCAGGGAACTCCACCTGCGGCCCCAGAGACAGGCTTGGCTGACGTTCCCCCGTCCTTGTCGGCACACCCATCACAGGGATCGCGCCCTACAGGGAGCTCTACCTACGCGCCCAGAGCCAAGGCTCGGACAGAACACCTGGGCGACACAACCCGAAGGGACGTGCCCAAAGTGCCTGCATGAATTCACACGCAGTCGGACCTCGCAACACGAACGGCGGCACGGACCCGCCCCAGGCGTTATCCGCGCCGCCGTTGCGAGGTGCCTCGAGATGCCACCCCGAGACACGGCCACCGGCACCACCCCCACTTGGCCGCCGGCCTCAAGCAGCGGAGGTCCCGCTGCCCAAGGACTTAAATTCCCGCGCCCCCCACGTCGGAGGACCCCTTCGAGTAACCCCATCGGGCCTCTCAGGCGTGGTACGGCGGGCCCGTACCTCCTGTGGCTGGCCAACCACACGACAAGAGTCTCTCCCACAGCCCCGTCGAGCTGTGGTGACGATCGGGCTGCCAACCCGCGCGTTTTCCTGGGACGCCACGAGGGCACCCAGCGGCACAGGTGCCACATACACATACATTTACCTATAAATATACATAAACATACATATATATATATACACAGACATATACATATACACATACATATACATATACATATACATATACGTATACATATACACATACGCAAATATATACATATATACATACACATATACATATGCATGTATACATATACATACACGTATACAAATAAATATACATATATACATATACATATACAAATGCATATATATATATATATATATATATATATATACACGTATACATATTCATATACATATACATATATATATAAACATATACATATACATATACATATGCATATATATATGTATGTACATATACATATACATATACATGTACATAAACATATACATATACATATACATATACATATCCATATACATATACATATACAGATGCCTATGTTTATGCATGTACATATACACGTACATATTCATATACGTGTACAAATCCCACCAGCCCTCTGGGCTTAGGTGGTATAACGCGTTTTTTTCTTCTCTCTTTCACTGTTTCCCATTAATAAACACCCCCTCCCCCAGGCGACTGGGGGCCAACCCGAGTCCATGCCGACACCCCCCCCCCACCATCCCTTGTAACAAACAATACAAAACACACGTTGCCTCCAAATTCGGAACATGCGCAGCCAACCCGATGCGGCCCCCCCCCCACCATCCCTGTCAAAAACAATACAGAGTACACTTGGCGGCGGCGGCGGCTGCGGCGGCTGCGGCAGGCGGCGGCGGCGGCGGCGGAAGGCGGCGGGGCGGCGGCGGCGGCGGCGGGGGCGGCGGCGGGCGGCGGTGTGGCGGCGGCGGCGCGGCGGTGGCGGCAGCGGCTGCGGCGGCGGTTAGGCAGCGGGGCGGCGGCGGCGGCGGCGCGGCGGGCGGCGGCGGCGGCGGAAGGCGGCGGCGGCGGCGCGGCGGCGGCGGCGGCGGCGGCGGCGCGGCGTGCGGCGGCGGCGGCGCGGCGGCGGCGGCGGCGGCGGCGGCAGCGGCGGCGGCGGCGGCGGAGGCGGCGGCGGCGGCGGCGGATTGGCCCCCAGTAGCTGCCCATCCAAAGACGACTGCTGAATATGCTGAGGCTCGGGCCAGACTCGGGTGCTACGTATGTGTTGGGAGGGCGGGTGGGAGTGAGCGAGACGGCTTGCGGGCGGGGAGGGGGTGACTTGACCCCTCCCCCTACCCCCGCCCCTGGGCCTGGGAGGGGGGGGGACGGAGGCGCCGCAGCGTCCAAGATGGCCCAAGAAGGCTCCAAGAGGGCCTCAAAGTCGCAAGATGGCCTCCAAGATAGCCCATGCTACTTCAAGATGGGTCAAGATAGCCTCCGACATACCCCCAAGAGGCCCCAAGACAGCCCCAAGACGGATCCAAGTACCCTCCGAGCCCTCCACGGCGCCCTCCAAGATGCCAAAACCCTTCAAAAGCCTAGGGAAAATCAATGGGCTTGGCATTATCGCCGTTTCGCTTCCGATGGGCTTTGGAAGCCTCATTATGGCCCCATGATTGCCTAAAAGAGGCCCAAGAGGGGCCCAAGAAGGCCGAAGACAGCCCCAAGATCGCCCAAGAGGCGCCCAAGAGCGCTCCACGAGGGCCCAAAGATGCCGTTTGAGAGCCTCCGAGGGGGCGATGTTAATTGAGGGACCTCCTCTTTTTGAACCATGGGGCCCAAGATGACCCCAAGAGGCCTCCCAGCCTCTCCCCAAAGACCCTCCACCCTGCCTTGTTTGGCCCAATATGGTTCCAAGAGAGTCCTAGATAGGCAAATATGGTTGTCAAAATGGGCTGAGATAGCCAAGCATGGCTCAAGATAGCCTCCGACAAACCTCCAAGAGGCCTCAACGCAGCATAAAGATGGCCCAAGATAGCCGAGCATGGCTCAAGATAGCCTCCGACAACCTCTAGCCGAGCATGGCTCAAGATAGCCTCCAAGAGGCCTCAAGAAAACTGGTAATCAGTTATGGATGGGCTGGTAGGGATACGCGAAGCGTCAAAAGTAATATACATATACATATACATATACATATGCAAATACAGACACATTAAGCATTTATATGTATGTGCGTATGCAAACAAAAACATAAACATACACATATGCATACCTATACATATAAATATACATACATACGCCCAAATGTTCACCAATTGATTTCCACATCTGATGGGGGGAACAGATAGTTCAGTGGTTTGGCCAGAAATGGACCCGACGTCTAGCCAAACCAGCGTGTCCAAAAAGCAGGGTGGCGGCCGTTCGCCGCAAGCGTGTTCGATAATGAGCAATATCACCGGTGAGCATAATATGCAAACAAATATGACACACAGCAATCTGCAACCGCGCAATGGTTTGAAGTCGTTCGCACCATAGTACTCGTCTTGGCCTAGTAACGCACTGTTCTCGTTCATTGCGGAGAACAAGATGGAAGCTACAACGACAATGAAGTAAACCCTCGAGCCAGCAGCTACTGGGGGAAGAAGAACAGGAGAGCAAGATGAGGGGAAGTGGGCGGGGAGGGCGAATGATAATGAAGGGGGGGAGGAGGGAAGGAGGACGGAAGAGGAGAAGGGAGCGGAAGACGAGATTAGAAGGGGGAGAAAAATATCTGGTGGAATCTGTTGATGGGCGGTGAAGATAATTATCATGAAGAAGAGGCCACGGAGGAAGTCGAGAGAGAGACAGAGAAAGAAAAGGCGCAGGATTATGAGGGAGAAACGAATAGGGGGGAAGGCGGGGGGGGAGGAGACTACATGGATATTGCAGCAGGTTCCAAGGACAGCACCGACGACGAACCTGGGCAAACACATTCGACAAACGGATGGCCCTCAGTAACTTTACTTTCGGGTCTTCTTCATGAATGAATCTGGACGGCGGAGCCCCCCTGCACCCTCTGAGACTCAAGCCGAGGGGGGATGGGCCAAGGGGGCCCCAGCCTTTGGGAGGCTTACCGTCACGCAAACGCTTCAAATTGTGGCGTCCCGAAAGGATGATCTGATCAGCACAGGCTTCAGCTTACATCATGGGCCTATCCCCCCACGCACACACACGCACCAGACCCCCGAAATGTGCGACCTTCCAGCACCAGACAAGGCCATGCCTCATGGCAACCGCATGCGAAAGGTGGACTTACTTGGCGGCCGCACTGACCTTGCTCACTGCTCGGGGTGGCACGAGGACAAGGGTTCCAGCATCACTTTTGACTCGGACCGCGGCGTCGCCCTTGCAGCGAGATTTCTCAAGCCAGTCAACCAGCGAGGACCTCCCTGGGCCCAATCGGCACACGGAACAAACCCACCAGCGCCTAGCCACGCGCTCCATCCAGTGGCCCGAGCTCTGCTCGAAGGCCACTGCTCTCCTCAGAGCCTCTCCCCCCCCTCAGGCGCCTCGCGCGGGGGGCGGTCCTGGTCGGCCGCCTCCGCGGCCAGCTCGGCGCAGACAGCTGCGAGGCGCCGGTGGGCCAGCGTGGCCAGGGCACCCCCACTGGCCACTTGCTCGACCTGGGAAGAGATCCTCGCGTGAGCCACCTGGGCCCCGAGCTGGGCACACGCTCCGGCCATCTCGTTGCCCCGAGACACTTCTACTCTCTGTCCTATGCGGCCGCGCGACAAGGCATCGAGGTGAGAGAAACATTTGCGCAATCTGATGTGGCCAGGGCGCTCTCTGACAGCCTAGGAGATCCGTTCCCACCACGCCAATTGGGCCCCCGAAGACCTTTCGGGCTGGCCCCCAAACAAACCGTAAAAACAACAAACTGGCAATCGGTAAGGACGTCGGCCTGGTCGCACTCGCAGGTCATTAATTCTCTGAATCCACGGGCGCCCCTGCTGCGCAACGCTCGGGCAAAAGAACGCTCGACGGCAGATCGCGCCAGGGGCTCGGACGTCGCACCGCCCGCGCAAACCTCCCGCGCTGTAGCCAGCGCGCCGCTGTCGATCCCCATTCCGCAGGGCGCCACAGACGACCCCGCCCAGGGCCCCAGCTTCCTGCCGAACGCAATTAGATCCCCACCTTCAGGGTACAAGCCCCCCCCATTCAGAGCGGTTGGCTGCCCGCTCCGAAAGTTGGCTCTGGACCGACGCCACCAGCGCATCGCGCAACTCGGAACAATCTCCAGACAGAACGGGATCGGACTGCCGCTCGCAAATCCCAGGGCCCCGCCAACGATAAGGTTCAATCCCGGCCCAACCCATCCCAGAGCCCCGAGGGCGAGAATCATGGCTCCCATGGGCCCCGCGCAGGCCCTCGACCTAACGCGGGGCTTCAACCGAGCTGGCCCCAGCTTAACAACATTTCATCCATCCGCACAGATTGTCTGAGGGGAGGATTTGCGGTCCATAAGGTGAGCTACTCCTTGGCCTGGAGTTCCACACTCAAGGCCCAAGGTACCCCCACCCACACACCCACCCACCCACCACCACCACCACCACCACCACCATGCAGCAGCAGCATGGCCATGGACGTGCACCGACTATACCTTGCCAGCGCCTGCAAGGTCCGCAGCCAGACCTCTGCGTCGACACATCTCTGTCGGGGGGGGGGGGGGGGCAAAAAGCAGGCTGTCGCATGACATCTTAGCTCTTACACCACGGCTGCACAGCTGGATTCGCTTCTTCGCACGAGCTTCCCCAAGAAACCCAAAAACATGGCCCCTCGCGGCCCTCGCTCTTACAGGCCGCGCACGCAGCAGTCCTACCCCGCTCTTGTCACATGGCGCCGTCGGCCCCGAGGTCCACCGCGGCTTTGCGACGCTGTCCGCGGATGCCCATGTCCTCCTAGCCCCCCCACACACACACACGCACGCACGCACGCACGCACGCACGCACACACACACACACCACACACACACACACACACACACACACACACACACACACACACGCACGCACGCACGCACACACACACACACACACACACACACACACACACACGCACGCACGCACGCACGCACGCACGCACGCACGCACGCACATACACACACACCACCACCACCATGTTTCCATCCGGGTCCAACACAATGAGCGTTGACTCGTTGACATGTTGGATATCCTCAGTCTGGCATCGAGACATTCTTGCACTCGAGTAGTAGCAGCCTTCGCAACAGCTGGCCCCATAATTTCTGAAGGTCCCCCTGCCCTTGCTGAGATATCATCTATAAACTGCCGCATGCGTACTAGATACACACATCGTTGTACAGTACCCAGAACATGATAAAGCAGTGGCATTACGCGATGGTTAGCCGATCCACACCCCGGGACAATGCCATTGCCCGGGGTGGTGAGGCCGCTGTAACTCAGACTCACCTTAACTAGCCTGGGACTGAGGTAGCTGTTGTTCCACGTGTCGAGCCCGATTGCTGAGTACTCCAACTCCATTGATTTCATTGCTCGGATACTCAAATCCACCAGGCCGAAAATTGCTCCAAATCCTGGTAGAACTACGCTTGGCTAGCTTCATCTTGGCTTGCCCGGCACTCATCTAGGACCAACGTAAGGAGGGCAGACTGCAGGGCCGAGCTCCCCCGCGCTGCAGCATCCCGAAATCCCGCTCGCCGGCCGCGCCAATCGGCAAGCATTCCATTGGTCATCTGCCCCCACGCCCCCAGCGGCAGGGGCGGCAACCCCACGGGGTGCCCCCCCCCTGCCGCCCGTTTGTCTGCTCTCTGGGGCAAGCGCGCCGCGGCTGCATAAGTCGGTGGGGCCATTGAAATTTTCTCTCGCGCACGTTGGGAACGAGCAGCAATCCACCCTTGCACTGCGGGCTAACCGCACGCAATGGGCCAGGCGACCACTGGTCTGCGCCCAACCGGCGCCCGCGGGGAAAACGCCGAAAGAACCATCCAGCTGATCCAAGGCGGGGCAGGGCCTCGCCATCAGCTTATCCTGCACTTTGCATTCGATCATGCCAAGCGCCCCCCGCATCCCCGCTGCATGCCCTCGGTGCGCCGTCCAACGCGCGGCCCGCGCCTCGCGTCTCAGGTCGATGCCTCCGATGGGACCCACCTCCCAATCGTTCGTCGTAGGGCCCATGCGCCCGCTGCCGGTCGCGATCGGGTCTTCTTTCCTAAGTATCTGCGGGCCTGCTTGCACGACCCCATCTCCTCTTGCGTGGCCCGTGCTCTGACCTGGGGCCCAGTCGCCTTCCACGCCAGCTGCGCATGTCGCTCAGCTGTCCGGCAGGTCCTCGCCGCCGTCTCACTGGGCGCGACCTGCGCCCAGCCCGCTGCCCGTCGCGCCCACCCATGGCTGGTGCACAACGTTGAGCAGATGGTCGCGCCTATTGGACCCCACTCGAAACCGGCGTTTCTCGCCCGTCTAAATCGGCACCCAGGCCCGCGAACGCATCGCGATCATCATCGCCCATGGCACGCCTGGCTGGGCACGCCGCGCTCGGGCCACTCGCGGTACAGCTCGCTCTCGCGGTCGCCCGCAGTGAAGGCTTCGCCGTCACCCCACCCCTTGTTTGATCCACCCGATCTGAAGATCTGCGCCCAATCAGGTATATCTGCGCCAGCAGTGCAATGGCACTCTGGAGCGCGGCCGATGAGGTCGCGCGCCCCTTCGTCTATGTCGCCCCAAGGCACCGCCGCTTGGTCGTCTCCTGCTTCCCCCAGGTCCTGGCGCTAGCCCCATGAACATACCGATCTCCCTCAACACTGCAGCACCCTGTTCTCGATCTCTCTGTTCGGCTTTCCGATCAGCTAGATGACGCGACATCAGTGGCCGTCGGCGCAGCCGGCCCACCGCCTCACGCGCAGCATCCAACCGAGCTGCTTTCGCACATCTCGCCTGAAGGGCGGCCCCCTCACTTGGCCTGAAAGCCAGAACTTCAAATATATTTCCTCCTCGCGCACTGCCGCGTAGATGAGCGCGGTCTGACCGTTATTGCTCCGCTGGCTTCTGTTCGGTATTTGTTCGGTCAACCTCGTTATGCACTGCGCTTCTGCTCCGCGTCTGTCATCACGCATGGCGATCTCTCTGCTGCAACCGCCCGATCGCCAAAGTGCTGCCCCGGCATCAGAGCACCCTGTTGGTCACACTTGAAAGCCCAGGACTGTCCCGTCGCTCTCAGAGGAGGTTCTGGCATATGGTGTCGAGCATGGTTCAATGCCTCCTGCAACTGCGCATCAGACACTGCGCTGCGCACCACCAACGAGCAAATTTGGCGTGTTCGGCATGCTCCAGATTCCCTGGTGGCACACCATCCTGTACTGCCTGATCGCGTAACCTGGCACGTTGTTCTCGATCTCTCTGCTACCGCCCACAAACCTTGGCCACCTTCACCTCGATAGCTGGAAAGTCCAACTTCACTGGCAGCATGGGCGCCTGTACAAGGACAGCTGCTGGCGCACATGTAGATCCAGATCCCAGCCAACGCGCGGACCACACGGCGCATTCCGAACTGGCGCAAATGCGTTAACCAACGGCAGCAAGTTTCTTGAACAGATCCTATAGTCCAGCAGAAGCCCCTTCCGAGATATACATGTTATCTCACAACCAAATGGCAAGAGCAGCTCCCCTTTCAGCGCCCTTAGCCATCTCGTGCGACACATCTGCTCTGGAGTATCATTTGTTCAAACCACCAAGTGCGACCCACGGCACCGACATGGACTTCACAACGCGCAGTAAGTGAACCATCTTCTGCGCACGGTCACCATCGAAGCGCTTGCCCGTGTCTAAGTAGATGACAATCAGCCCTGTGGTAACTCCCTGGAGCCGCCACAACATCACTGACATGTCCTTTCAGCTGGTTTTGGAACATGCTATTGCCTGATCCCTCAGGGAAGTGAGCCACGGTCATCAACTTGCTCTTGGCGATCCAACAGATGCCTCCACTTGTGTCACTCGCACTGGTACCTGTTGGCGCTGCTGGTGCCCACGTGAACTGCGACTGCTACACATGACGCTGTAGCTTCTGGGACTCGGTCTTGACTGAGCGAGACAGCAGGTGATGCTCCGCCAGGCCCATCACTTCAAAATCTGCATGCTCGATGTAGTGTTTGACCATATCACTGTAGCTAGTAATGCTCGCGTAGAACACGTGGACCGCGCGTCCCACAGACGCGCTTGCCCACAAGACTCTGGGAGCCGTCTCAGGACTGCTGAAGTTGGGACTTTGCATTCCTTTGGCATTGGCCCCCCAAGCACGCCGCCGCAGCCACTGTCGGAGCACGCGCCTTGACCTTCGCCTTGATGCAGGTCGTGGCCGCGATGTACCGATCGACTGCCTCTGGGCCTGTGAAATCCTCCGTGGGCGTATCCTCTTCTGCCCCCCGCTTGACCTCACCGGCTGCTGGGGGGTGCCTCTCCTTCAACTCCACGCCTGCGCTTCGACATCACCGCCGAGCCGGGCTTGTGGATACGTTCAGCTGTTTTCATGGCGCCCTTCCCTGCGTTATTTGCCTGTCGTAGTACATCGCAAGCCTGATCAGCAGCAGCTTCTGCCGCAGCAGACTCGTTCTTCCCACCCTCGTCAAACGCCGCCAAGTCCTCTGCCGATAGCTCTGGGAAGGTGTCCTCCTCCGCTGCTGCCTCAGCCGCCTCTGCCGACATAGCAGCGCCTGCTGGGGTCTGGATATTGTCAACTTCTGCCTGCAAGTCTAGACTTTGATGGATGTTGGCCACAATGTTTTCCTGCAACACCTTCTGAGAGTTGGCCGGCGCCAGCCAATTGCACTTTGAGCCGCCTTTGCTGCGCCTGAGGTTGTCTGATCTTCTAAGCGTTCGTAGCCAGCAGCTCCTCAGTGGTTGGGATCGGAGAGGGGTCCCGTATATTCGCAAGGTCGGGACATATGGCTTCAAAGGCCTTCTGAACGTTCTCGTCGTTCTCTTGTTTGGCCTTGGCATAGTTCGGGAGCAGAGTGCTGAGCAAGGCATCCTGCGGGGTGGCGCCTTCACCGCCACGCGACTGAGCACCACCTCTTCCCTGCGACTACACTCGTGGGCACAACGCACTCCACAATGCTCTGCAGCTGCGACGCGTCCCAACCTGGCTTGCCCATCTTATGATCAATCGCCCAAGACTTAGCACAAGCAGGACACACTTCGTACTTTTGCTTATGAATCCGACTGAGTGAACGTGCCATCGCCGACCCTGCTGCGTCCTTCTTTCCCATACGACTGCAAACTTACTTTCGCCGGCCGTCTGGGCGCCCCTCAAGCCGCGGGAGCGTCTGGCTCAGCAGACTGCAACTGTGCCGACACAAGGTGCGCGTGCGTGTGCGCTGACCTGACCCCTCCCCAGAGAGGCTTGGCCCACAATGGCTTGAGAGGGCGAGGGGGAGAATTCGGGCTAAGGAGGAGGAGGAGGAGAAGTCGAGCGAAAACGATCCACGGGAGAAAAAAAATGAAGTAGCAGGGGGGGGAAAAGAGGGAGGTGGGAGAGAAGGAGGGGGAGGGGAAGGAGGAAGGGAAGTCAAGGGGGGAGAGGGAGAGGGGAAAGGATGGCCAGGGGGACTGGGGAGCAGGTGGGCCCGCAGATCCCCACGGCCCCCCAGCATCCGATTCCCAAGCCACGTCCGCCGACCGTGACTTACAAGTTCCCTTCCTTGGAGAAGGAGAGGGGAGGAGGAAGAAGAGAACTTGGGGAAAGAGCGGGAGGAGAGGGAAGACCAGATTCAGCAAAAAACGCATCATCGAGGATACAATGCAATCTCTGGTCTCGACCTCAGGGGCTCCTGACTAGGATGGTGAGAAGCCTCTGAGTTCTACAATGAGTTCGATGACCATGCCCAGGATCGATCGCACGCCCGACTCAAACAAAATGATTTTGAACAGGGCGCATCTTCGACCTGTGGACCTCGTGGAGACTGATATTTTTCAAACCAAAAACACAGCTCCAGAATAGTATGCGCCGACCCACGCTTACTTGGGGTGAGGAGACGAGTGAGATGCCTGGCAAACTCCCTCCCCCTTTCCCCTGGCCCAGCAGCCCGAAATCCGGTTTCAGGAGGAAGGGGGCAAGTGGGGTACGAGCTCCTCAACGCAACTCCCGGGCCCTCAGAGCATTCAGATCGACCCTCCGACGCCTCCAGGGTGCCAAAGATGCCCTGCACGACGGCTCAGGAAGGGCTCCAAACACGCCTAAGAGGCTTCGACAATAACCCAAGAGGCACTAAAGGGCCCCAAGACAGCCCAAGGGAGTTTTCAAGAGGGAGACCAAGCTCAATAAAACCAATGGAAAATTCATGGATGGTCTTTGAACTGCTTGCCTGTGAAGGCCCCTTATAGCTATTATAGACAGCCAGGCTTCTGGATCCAGAACCGATGGCGGTGGTCTCCCAAACGGTCTCATAGCTGGTCTCGCGCGTGGTCTCACGCATGTTCTCCCGTATGGCCTCCTGTATGGCCTCACGCACGTTCTCCCGTATGGCTGCCCGTACGCGTAGTAAAGTAGGACGCCATCTTCACTGTTGAACGATGCTGTCTAGGGTCTGCTGACGTGAGGGTCTAATTCAACGAGTGTGTGGTCTCTCCCTTTACTTCCAGACCTCCACACTATCCCTCCTCGTCCTCCTCCTCCTCCTGCCCATCCTCTCCTTCATCCTCCCTCCTACGACGACCACCACGACGACCGCCACGACAATGGCCACGACGACGACCACCACCATCACCACGACCACGACAACGACAACCACGACGACGATGCCGCCACCGCCTCGTCGGCCTCCAGGCTGAGCGCCCCGAGCTTCGGCGCCGCCGACGCCGCGGGCTTTGTCGCCCTGGAGGCGGCCTGCGGAGAAGCAGGACGACGACGACGACGACGACGAAGATGACGGGGGCGGGGGAGGAAGGGACGACGCCGACGACGACGACGACGCCGACGATGACGACAGCAAAGACCACGATGACGGACGAGGACGGCGACCACGACCACAATGACGGAGGAGGACGACGACAACGACCACGATGGCTGGAGGCGGGGAGGCCAGGTACATCGTCGCCTGTGGCGTCCCTGCCCCTCATGCATCCATCGGGGCATACGCATAGTTGCCAGCGATTGCGGGTGACAGGGGGCACCCTTCGCGCAGCTGTACAACATGGCGCTCCTGGAATGAAACCTCCACCGAGAACACAGCACACTGGGCCCAGGACGCCCTGATTAAGGGCCATTCCCCTTCGGAGCGGGCAAGGCGTGCGTCGAGGCAGGGAGGAAAGGCAGGCAAGAATGGGGAGGGCGGGGGGGGGGGAAGGGAGGGGAATGAAGGGGGAGGGAAGAGGGGAAGAGGCAGGGGAGTGAAGGGGAGTGATGGGGGAGTGAACGGGGAGGGAAGGCAGGCTGGGAGGGAAGAGGGGGAGCGCGCTCGCCGCGGGCGTGGGCACTGGCCCCGCCTCGGACGCTGGGCGCGTCGCCGCTGCAGCCATGTCCTCATCGCTTGCGGCCTCGACCTGAGAGAGGGAAGGACCCCCTACATCCCCCCCTTTCATCTACTTCTTCTCCACACCGCTGCCCGCCCTCCTCCCGCTCCCCCTCATCCTCCGTCTCCGCCTCCTACTCCTCCGCATCTTCCTCTCCTCCTCCTCCTCCTCCTCCTCCTCCTCCCTCCTCCTCCTCCTCCTCCTCCTCATCTCATCATCATCATATCATCATCATCATCATCATCATCATCATCATCATCATCATCATCATCATCATCACCCCCTCGTTCTCTCACTCCTCCTCCCCCTCCTCCTCCTCTCCTCACATTCCTCCCCCTCCTCCTCCTCCTCCTCCTCATCCTCCTCCTCCTCATCATCCTCCTCATCCTCATCCTCATCCTCATCCTCCTCCTGCTCTGCATCCTCCCCCTCCTCATCTTCATCCTCCTTCTCCTCCTCCTGAAACTCCGTATCCTCCTCCTCCTCCTCCTCCTCATCCTCCTCCTACTCCTCCTCCTCCTCCTCCTCCTTCTCCTCCTCCTCCCCCTCCGTAGCAATGGTGGCTCCAGATGCTTGCACGTGGGGGCTCTGCGCATCCGTGTCTGGCTGGAAGCTGTTATTCCGCAGCAGCGCCAGGACTGTCCAGTTCAACATCAGCGTTTGCGCCAGCTGGTCCGCCCCAACTCGGCGCCTGCCTCCCGCTGCCCGCGGGTGAGCAGCCCATTTCACTACCATACCGCTCACAGCCTGTCTCCGCGCATTATGGGCGGCTCTGGTACTGGCGAATGGGAGAGGCGCTCATGAGTCCAAGATGCTGGGCGCCGCCGTCGCTGGGGAGGCAGGGTGTCTGCAGTGGGAGGACCCGCTAAATGTTGGGAGAAATGGGGCCGTGTGATTGATGACAGCTGGAAGTTAGTTACTGCTACCAAAAGACACGTGTTCTGTCATCACTGTGGGCGCCGCAAGAACCCAAAGTGCGCGATATACTGCAAGCACTGTGGCGAACGGGTCGGTACCCGCCCTCTGTCATCAACCACCCAGCTCGAAGCAGAACTTGCCGTCGTTTCCCAGGCGGACTCAGGCAAAGGAGGTGACAAAGCGAGCAAGAAGGGCAAGAAAGGAGGAAACGGAGATGATGCGCTGGGTAAGGGCTTCGGGCCAAAGTGTCGCTTCAGCAATTCCCTCAGGGCCTCTTCCTGACCTCACCCAAGCCAGGGCACTCGAGCTCCAGCGGCTGACTCGAGAGGCGGCGATCAGGAGGGGGCAGCGCGCTATGGAGCCATTGCCAAGCACAGGGCGCCAACGCCTCGTCGAGGCGGAACAGAAGCAGGAGAAGCTCGAGAAGCGCATCATTTCGGAGTTCGGGAAGCCCGAGCGCTGAGGCAGGCACTCAAGACCTGGCCTCTTCGGTCAGGGTGTTGCAGGGCGAGTTGGAGGCAGCCGACGCCGAGGTGGCCGCCACGCTGGCGGAGCTCCAGAGCCAGCATGGAGCTCGTGCCGACAAGCCCGAGGCCCAGGCAGCTCAGCCACTCATCAGTCTGCGGAAGCTGGTCGGGGGAGAGATGGAGCTGGCTTCGGTTATCAGGCGTGGAGGCCGTCAAAGGGGACTACGACGTCTCGGCCGAGGACCTCAAAGAACTTGAAGAACGGAAGAACAACACGGCGCGCCAGATGCAGGTGTTCACCACTGTCTTTCGTCAGGCGGTGGAGAAGCCCAACGAGCGCCAGGAGCAGCACAAGGAGCACCTCAAGCGGCTCAAAAGGAGCGTCGCCGAGTGGAAGGTGGAACCGAAGCAGCAGGAGCTGGAGGAGAGGCGGCGGCCGCTGGGGCTTCCGCAGCAGCGGAACCACACGCTCGGGGGCCTGCTGAAGCAGCCGCTGGCGCAGCGCCCGCGGCTCGGGTGGGCAGGCAGGACATTCGGGCTCGAGCTGCTGCTGATGCTGGCGTCTAGGCTGCTGCTCAATCGGGGCTTTAGCACGGCGGCAACATTGGGCTGGGCGCTCAGGGATTCGGACCCTGGTCGCCACCGCGATCAGCCCACATCGTCGGTGGTTTCAAGTTCCTGGGCATCGTCGAGGGCGGCTCCAGGTGCTGGGACATCTCGCCCGTCTTCGTCGATTGCCAAGTGTAGATCGTCGGGGTTGTCTACTTCGGTTGCACCGTCAGCGTCGGTTCCGGCAAGCTCCTCTACATCGATGGCGCCGTCGGCTTCGCTTTCCAGGAAGGCGGCGCGCTCACAGGATGGCGTTTGATCGCAATTTCCCGAGCCAGTCCTTAGGGGCGT